ATCACTTTGATTCTGATTTCTCAAATTAAAAACTACCACTCTCCCCTTTAAAAAATTAGTTGTTTAAGAATACAATTGAACCCAAGTTTAAAGTGTTTTGTTTTGAATAATCATTTTATAAGAATTATAGATTTTTCTTTTATAAAAGAAGGTTTTCAAAAACTTTTTAATTTTTTTATTCTATTATATTTCAAGTTACAAGACAAATCTAAGAATTGAGACTAATTTAAAAAAAATTATACTAATAAATATAATAAAGATAATTATTTTTAAATTAATCAATATAAATTTACCATAAATAATTATTTATAACATTTATTTTAATCCGTACATAAACTATTTATCGTTTTTGACATAATAAATGATTTATTCTTAATTTATTAAATTAGTGGGCATAAAAGTGGTGGTTGTTCCCCAGTCCTAGGAGCCAACATGCATACATATGACTCTCCCACTCATCTTAATTTATGTTCTTCCTTAATTAATATTCTAACTATTTTTTTAAAATGAGAAATGCTAATGATAAATATATATTTTTGTTTTATTTTAACACATGATTTATTATACCTAATTTTTTTAAGCCATTTTTTTTTCATATTTTATAGTTTTTAATAAGCTTTAATTAATTATAAGATATTTATTAAAAAAATATATTAAAGAGTGTGTTTTATAAATATTGATAAAATATAATGTGACTGGGTTACATATTGAAGTGGTAGGGACTATTGTGAGACCATACTACTTTTGACATGACTTGTGTTTTCAACATGATTTATTAATTTGATTAAATAAGGCAAATTCACATTTGTAATGGGTGCCCTGATTATTTATTAGTATTTTTTTTTTTATTCTCATCAATGTTTCCACCTCTTAAATCTTATAAAAGGAAAAAGTTTATAAAATCATGACACTAGAAATGGTTATACTATGTATGGCAAATTATTTTATTGCTTTGTAGGAAGAATCCTGATATTAAAAGGTATATAGTTCAAAAGTTAGCAGCAATTTTTGAACACTACAATGCTTTAACAATATTAACTACTAATAGGTACTCTGCACTATAAATGCTTTGAACACTCATGTAAGTCAATGATTACTCTCAATCTTACAATAATCATGGAACGAATCATTTCAAATCTTACAGTAACCCTTTTAAATAAAGAGAGATTTTATTAAAATAATAATGTTTATATATATATATATATATATATATATATATATATATGTATGTATTTACTTTATTTATAATTTTCTAACAAAGTAGATCTGCTTTAATCTTTATAAATTTGCAAATCAACAAGTTTAGTTCTTATAAAATATTAATCATAAATTTAGTCTTCCAATAAACAATTTAGATCATTCAATTAATTATTAACAAGAAATATTAATTTTATTTTATGTGAATGAGTAATTAATATTATTGTAACTTAAATATTTGTAGTAATTAAGTAATACATTACTAATAAACTAAGGTTGTTTTTAATTATGAAGACTTGAAGGACTAAATCTGTAATTAAAATTTTACAGGATCAAATTAACACGTCCAAAAAAAAAACTATATATAGAAATAAAAAGTGGATTTAACACAAAAAAATTAAGCATAATTATCATTAAACATTTAATGACATAACAAGTTACTTGATTGATGTTCACGCTTTAAAGTAATTTATTATTACTCTTCATTATAATAAAGATTAAGAGTGGTGGTAAAAAGAAATTTGGGTCAAATTTTGGATTAGGGTTGGTTAAGAAGAAGAAGAAAAAAAAAACATAATTAAGTTCAATTATTAATAAGTAAAAAGGTTGATAATTTTACTTGATTTTAGTCATGAAACATATATGCTTACATGACTCTATCATATAAGATCTTTTATATATGTTATTTTACTTTTTATTTATTGATTTAAGAATATTTTTTAAGTTAATTATTTTATTTATAAATAATGTATTTAACATGTTTTTATTAAAAATATAACATAATTTAATTTTTCTTAATTCGTTGCATTTTATATAATTTTAGCATAATAAATAATATACATGCATATATTTATATTATATTTTTTTCTTTTATAGGAAAAGTAATTTGAGATAAGCCAAATTAATGAAAAGAAATATCCAAATTAATGTCGCAAACTTTATTTTAATTGGAAGGCCAAATTTACTTTTGCAGCCTACTTGTAGAATGTTACCAATGAAAATTTTGAATCAAACAAATCAATTTGTGTGAGAATCCAATTAGTCGAATTAAAGGTCGAGTAGGAATCAACAATTAAATAAAAATCAGGATCACTCAAAATAGAAAAGGAGCAGATTATTTTCTTAAAATCAGTCCAAAAAATTTCTCTGCTGATTCGATTTTACAATTTTTTATTTAGGAAATATTTGATTTTATTATAGTTAATTGTAGATTTAATTTCTCTTGTTCAATCCACTATAAATAGAGATCTTATGACAACACCATGATCATAATCTCTTGGATCCGGATGAGAATTGTTGTTTTGTCTCATCCTTGTTTTATTTTTTGCTCTCAGCTTTTAGTTAGACGAGCTCATATATTATTATTACACTTCCAATTTGTTATCTTTTATTTAATTTGCAATTTATATTAATTTTTTTTAGTTTATACTTATTCATTCAGTGCTCATTTTAATTTCTCGCTATTTAGTTGTTTAGAATTTTTCTTCCTCGCTTAATTTTCATTTTCAATTTATCTATTTTCTAATTCCAATTCTCAAATTAGTTTTAAAGTTATCGCTTTTAGAAATTTCAAATTTAATTATTGTACTATTTTATTTTAAAACAATTCTTAATTCTTACACTTTTAATTAAAAATAATTTATTTTAATTTTATAAATTTCAGTTATTTAAATTCTACATCAATTAATTTTAATTACTATACTATTTTATTTTAAAATAATTTTTTATTCTTGCACTTTTAATTAAAAATACTTTATTTTAATTTTATAAAATTCAGTTATTTAAATTCTACATTAATTAATTTTAATTACTGTATTATTTTATTTTAAAACAATTTTTTATTCCTACAATTTTAATTAAAAATACTTTATTTTAATTTTATAAATTTCAGTTATTTAAAATTTGTTTTCATTTAATTTTTTTGTCGTTAATATTCTATAACAATCAATTTATTTCTTTTTCACTCTTTCATACATCTCCTATTTACTGATTTAGAGAAAATAATATGTGATAATGGGTATGTTTCTATAGTTGTGTATTTATGAGATTCAATATATATTATCTATAATGTATTAGTTTAACAACTTATTTATTATTTTTGATAGTATTTTATGCGATCAAAATGTTATTATGAATATTTCTTGAAGAATATTATTTTGTATTGACTTAAAATTATTTTCATTTCAATTAGGTCTTTAATAAGTCTATATTATAAAATTTCGATATAATATATAATTCAAAAATTAATGAATTTACATACCGTCCAAAACGGGTCTAAAGATAAGCTAACTAGTAAAATCAATAACAAAAAAATTGATTTGAAGTTGTTCATTAAACTTGTCATGTTCGTCTCTATCTTATGTATAAAAACTTGTTCTATAATAGTTGTTATAGCACTACAACTGAAATTGGTTTCTGGTCTAATAAGTTAAGAGAAAGCATGACAAGACTAGAGATTAGTTTATTAATATATAGATTTATTTTTATTTTTATTTTTAAATGTATAAATTAAAAAAAATGTGATATTTTCCTAAGCGCTATTGTGTAGTTTCACACATTTAAGTTAACACTGTTATACATTTTTTTTTTCTTTGAACTTTTATAATCAAAGTACCATAAATAAATAAATAAATAAATAAATAAAAATAAAAAACTCTGGACTTATTGGCCCTTTCCATTAGTAGTAGCTTGATTTTAGTGGAATACCTACCCAATTTGGATTTCAAAGAGTGCTTCATCAAACATTGGAGACAATGAATTCGAGTTTCCCACTCAAAGACAGTGGCGCCACTCCACTTGGAGATTCTACAAATATTAACAAATTTAGAAGCATGAGCTTCATTAGTCATCGACCTATCTTAGTTCTTATAAATTAATTAAAAGTCCTATATATAATTAATGGTATGGACCAACACCCAATCAAACACATCATAAATCTTGAGCAACAAATAATCTTGATGCAACAATGTGTGATAAACCTATTCAAATCACCCAAACCATTAAGTCTTCCATTAACAAATTATATATTTCATACAAAAGATTTGGTTTCACTACAATTTGTCGACCAAAGTAAAAAATTTATGAGATTAATAGTATGCCACTCTAAGTGGATGAAATTACTGGAGAAATCCCCTATCTTTCTGCAGCTTCCATTCTGATGGTGCGCAACTCGCCTATTTCTTTTTTATTGCTTTATCATAATTCATCAATTTGTGTCTGTAAATACTAAATCACTAATTAAACTGTTTTTTTATTAGCTATTTTGCTTATCAATTAATGCCAGATTAATTAGAAACCCTCCACGTGAGTGTCACTCTGTTATAGTGAAACTTGTCTGTGTACATCAATTTATCTATTAGACCATGTATTATATTATCATATTCTAACTAATAACTAATATATCAAAATCATATGAACAAATTTTTTATATGCAGCAAGAAAAGATACGGAGATCAAAAGAAGCAGAAAAGAGAATGGCTGCGCAGGTGCACCTGGGGCCCATGAAGTTGAAAGCAATTTGACAGATAAACGGTCCACATTCGCAGATCATGCACTCCACATACTTAGTCAATTTGCATAATTACATTAAGTATCAACGAGAATCTTAAACAGAGAGCACTCATCACACTCAACGTAATATAAATACCGTGAGATCCCATAACTTGTCATATCGCCTCCCATTTGAATCTATCTCTCTTCATTATACTATCTGAGATACCTGGTTCATTCTCCATAGTCTCTTACCTACACACTTATTCCTATTTCTCAAGGCCTTTCACATCTTAATTGCTTCTTCAGTGACCATGGCTAAGTTTCAGACCTTGCACAAATATTTATACATTATTCTAGCCCTAGTTGCCGGCCATGTTTCCCTTCTAGCACATGCCAGGAAAACACATATAAAGGCATTGAACCAACATTATTACTCACCAACCACAAACACTGTAGCAAATGATCCCCAGCTTCACCTTCCATCACTTAAAACAAACGTTGAATCACCACACTACGAGAAAGCTAGTAAGTTGGAAGATTCAGGTGCAGGCTCCACAAATGCTTTCCGACCCACTACACCAGGAGGGAGTCCTGGTGTTGGCCATGGAATAATTACATCAGAAGATCATAACAACATGAAATCATCAATGGTGGTAGTTCAGACCGGGGAGGATACCAAATCTGAAGGACCAGGTCACAGCCCTGGCGTTGGCCATGCTAGTTACCTAAACAAAATTGGACAGGGTAATTAATTAGTCATGTGAACTAAGCTTCAAAGCACCAACACTAGTGCAGACGCATGCATGTATACGTAATAGACTTGTTTTCCCTCTCTGCACTAGAGTCTGTAAACACTACTCTTGCTAGCCCATGGTTACGTGTAGTATGATAAGGGCTTTAGTTGGTTATTGCCTGGGATGAGTTGGTCTCCCAAATGTATCATTCAAATTGTTAGCATTTTTATTTATAAATGCAAAAGATGTTTTCAAAATTCAAGGCTCTTTCTCCAAGTACATGCTTACCCCCTTCATTTATTGAAAAATTTATTAAACCTAGATTTTTCAATAACCAGCTCTGTTAGGCCTGCATGATAGTAATTATTAATATAGTAATTGAAGTTAAAAATATTTATAAATTATTTACTAATGTTCTCACAGGATGATTATTAAATCTATATTCATGGACCCATCCGTCCTCGTCTCGAATTTGATGGAAAAAACTCAAGTTCACTGAGGATTAAGACAAATTTGGATTTTTTTCCACTTTAAAAAGTCAGGACTGGGATGAGTATTGTGATAACAACATTTTGGTCGTATAAAATACTGATAAAACTACAAAATATACTTTCTACGTCGTTATTTAACGTCGGTTATAGCTGAGACGACGTAGAAAGTACTTTCCACGTCGGTTCTCAGATGAACCGACGTTGAAATTGAATATTAAACACATTCTACGTCGGTTCTTAGTCAACCGACGTAGAAAGTACTTTCTACGTCGGTTCCCATATGAACCGACGTTGAAAGTCTTTTTTTATTTTATTTTTTACTTACTGATAGCGGTTATAAGGGAACTGCTATCTAAAGTGTATATTAGATAGCGGTTATAAGGGAACCGCTATCTAATATACACTTTAGATAGCGGTTCCCTTATAACCGCTATCTAATATGCACTTTAGATAGCGGTCCCTTATAACCGCTATCTAATATACACTTTAGATAGCGGTTATAAGGGAACCGCTATTATATCCTCTCAATTATGATCGATCATTTCAAGTTATGATCGATCAGAATCTAATTTCGCTCGAGCGAGGGTAGTGTCGCTCAAGCGAAATACAACCCGAGAATGCTAATTTTGTGCAGGGGGCGTTTAGCTCGAGCGAGAAGGGTGTCGCTCAAGCGAGATACATTTTAGATAGCGGTTAACCTGGAACCGCTATTATATTGTTTCAATTATGATCGATCAGAATGTAGTTATGACCGATCAGAACTATTTTAATCGATTAAATCTCGTTTCAATCGATTAAAACAATTCTACATAAGCATTTTAATCGATTAAAACTTATTTTTATCAGTTAAAATTACTTGAAAAGTGTCACGAGAAAGTTTTGCAGTATTTCAATCGATTGAATCGCGAAACAATCGATTAAATCAACTTAGAAGATTTTTTGTAAAGTGTTTTAATTGATATAAACATTGTCGTATCAGTTAAAACAAATCTGTTAAAGAATCAAGAACGTATTAATGGATTAAAAGAAATTTTAACAGATTAAAACTGCACTTTTAACATATTAAAAGAATCTTTTAACAGATTAATTAAACCAGCAGTTTTGAAAATCTTCTATAAAAACAGTTTGGCTTGAACTTTTTTAACATACATTGAATATATCATCTTTTACACATCCTTGAGCAATCAATCAATCGCTAATTGCGACCGAATTAAAGTGGGGGTTGGCTCGAGGTTAGAGTTCGACGTCACTAGGGTATGCGTTAGGGTTCGAGCTCCGCTGGGTTTGCGTTGGGTTTCACGAGCATGACAATTGGGTTTGGCTTGACATTGGGGTTCGATGTCGCCAGAGTTGGGGTTCGGCCTCGAGTTCGTCGAGGTTGAGGCTGGGGTTGAGATTCGAAGTTACTATTTGACATTTTTCTAGTAGTGAAATTTACACGGATATATATTTATTTGTATATAAATATAATTTATTTGTAAGTTATTATCAAAAAATTCAAGTAGTTTAGTGGTTGGAGTATCGACCTCCAACTCTAAAGTACTTGGGTTCGAATCCTGCCAATGACAATTCTCTTAAAAATTAAAAAACTTCTAAAAAATATAATATAAAGAGATGGAGGACCTAATAAAAATATAATATGAAGAGAGGGAGACTTCTAGATAAATAAAAGGGGGTAAAGGGGTTGTAAATAAATAAAAATTATTAATTTAAAAAATCATACTTTCAACGTCGGTTCTAATAAACCGACGTTGAAAGTCGACTTATAACGTTATATTAGATAGCGGTTCCCTTATAACCGCTATCTAAAGTCTATATTAGATAGCGGTTCCCTTATAACCGCTATCTAAAGTAAAAACTTTAACGTCGGTTTTTAGAACCGAGCGTTGAAAGTTACGACTTTCAACGTCGCCTGATACAACGTCGGTTATTAAGCCGACGTTGAAAGCCTTCCGAACCGAGCGTTGAAAGCTTTATTTGTAGTAGTGAAAATATTAAACAAGTTGTTAAACTAATGCGAGTATAGTTAACTTCGTGTCGAATTTCATAAGGACACAATTATAGAAATATACTCTTTATCACATATCATTATCTCTAAAACAAGTAAATAACAATAAATAGGGAATGAATGAAAGAGTGGAAAAAAAAATTGATGCAGAATAATGAAAATTAAAATCAAATTACTATAGAAGATTGACAACAATTAAAATTAAACTGAAACATAATTTAAATAACTGAAATTTATAAATTAAGATAAAGTGTTTTTAATTAAAAGTGCAGAAATCAAGAATTACTTTGAAATAAAATAGTGCAATAATTAAATTTGAAATTTCTAAAAGCGATAACTCTAAAATTAAATTGCGAATTGGAATTGGAAACAAGACAAATTGAAAATGAAAATTATGCAATATTGAAATAAAAATTCTAAACAATTAAATAACAGAAATTAAAATGAGCATTGAATAAATAAAATAACTAGAGCAAGATAAACTGGAAAACTTAATAGAAATTGCAAATTAAATAAAAGAGAACAAACTAGAAGTGCAGTAGTAGTTGATGAATTCGCCTAACTAAAAACTAAACTACGAACTAAGAGTAAGAAAATAAAATAGGGGCGAAACAAAACAACAATTTTCACCCAGGCTAGGATATTGTCACTACAAGAAAAAACACTTTTAGCGACTGAAATAAGCGACCAAATTTTTTCGGTCGCAATTAGTGACAGATTAACGACTGATTTGATTCAGTCACAATTAGCGACCGATTTAATTCGGTCACAATTAGCGACTGATTTAACGATCAATTTAATATGGTCACAATTAGCGACCGATTTAGCGACCGATTTAATTCGGTCGCAATTAACAACCGATTTAGTTCGATCGCAATTTAGTGACCAATTTAATTTGGTCACAATTTAGCGATTGATTTTGCCACAAAAATATGATTTAATTTCATTTTTTTATTTAGCATCCGAAATAGTGACCAATAGTTTGCGTTACAAAATTTTGGTCGCTAAATCGATGACTATTTCATATTAAAATAAAAAAATTATTTAGCAACTGATTTAGCGACTAAATGACAAATTGAAATAGTGAACAAATTAAAATCGATCGCTAATGAGAAAATAGCGATCGAATTGAAATCGGTTACTAATGAACATTATTTTTTTATTATATTTAAATTTATTTTTTTATAAATATACTTTAATTGTTTTAGTATATTTTTTACAATTTATTTTTTAAAAATAATTTATTTTTTAAAATATACTTTAAAAATAAACTTTGGTCTCAATATTAACAAAATGAAAATTAACTTTAATTTTAAATTACTAAAATAAAAATATTATTAAAAATAAATCAAATTTATTAAAAATTTAAATTATAATAAATTAAGACTGAAGTGATATTAACTATTCAATACATTGTTTAAGAAAAATTTAATAACAAATATTCTTTAATATATTTTTAAATTAAAAATTTCAATTGAAATTAAATTATATTTTAAAAATTTATATTAAAAAATTTGAACACATCAAATTATCACATTTTAATTCCTCATTAACTTAATTAATTAAAAAATTACAATATCAATCAAATTATTACAATTTTTTTATAATATTTTATTTTTAATCTAGTTTTTAAATTTATTGCTTTATTATTATTAATTACTTAACCATGATTTTTTTCATATAATTGATATACTAGAAAAAAGTTATATCAAAATATAATTAATATAAATTAGATACTATATATATTATTTAATTAAATTATTTATAAAAATATATTTATCTTTAGTGGAAATATTTTTTACTTTAAATATACTAATTAATCATTTTCATTTTTAACAAAATTAATAACAAAGATTAAAAATAGACTGGCTAGAAAAGTTAAAAATTTAAAACTAATTCATTTTATAAATACAAAAAATAAATCATATTGAAATAAATTAAAAATATATTTAAATCTATATTCAACACACCTCCAATTTTGCTCAATAAATACATAGATCACATTTGAAAACTTTATCATTGAAATAACTTCAAAATTATTAACTTTATTTTTTCAAAGCCCAGTTTTTCTTGTCAACTTTTTCAAAAAAAGCAGTTAATGTAAGTTAAGTTGTACCTTTTTAAAATTTGAACTTTTTTATATATTGGATTTTTATTTAAAAATTTCTAAATTGGATAAGAAAATGAAGATTTAATTATACTTTTAATAAATTTAAGATAATATTAGTTTTTATTTTTAATTTTTTAAAACAGAGAAACTATAATTTTAGTTTCTAAATACTAAATTTTGTTAGACAAATGACATCTAGAGGGGTGAATAGATGCACAAATTAAAATATATGTCAAATTAAAAATTTATTTGTGAGTCAATAATTTGTTTGAACACAAATAAAGCGAAGCCATAATATAATCGGGAAAAGAGAAAGAAAAAAACAGGATGTATTAAAAAACATTTATTCTTTAAAACGGATATATTTTTAAAATTTGAATTGCCATAATTGATTATATTACCAGTATAA